CATACATACATACATATATACATACATACATATATATATATATATATGTATATATAAAATAAATAACATTTCATATGCAACAGATCTATCAAAGAAAACTCCAGCAATATTAAAACAAATGCAAAAGATTAAAACGAACAAGTCCCGTATAAATATTAATCATTATGTAATTGCACGAATTATATGCGCATACATTATATGTGTACAGGTAACCATAATTTAATTAAAAACAGAAAAACTGTTGGAAAATGTCCTCAGGTCGGATTTAACTTTCAATTAATTTATTAATTTGCATTTATATGCGATAATAATGCCATAGTAGTAGCATTCATTTGCTTGTGGCCATTTAATGCACTCTCATACGACATATGATGAACACATAACTATGTTCCATAATTATGTTCACGAATTTTTCAAACTTACTTTTTAATCATGCCATTATCAAGGGATGCGAGTATATTCAACTTGTCATACAATTGAGTCGATTATTTTATAAATCTACAGTGCTCGCCTGTCGCTAAGTGTCGAAATTTTAATTTATATTTTTAATTGGTTGTCATAGACCAAATGTTAAAATCTGCCTGATCTTTTCAAAAGTGCGAGTACACAATGTTTAGTCCCAATTGCCAATTGACCTAGGCCTACGATCAACAAATCAATTTGAATAAAAATGCCGCAATGAAACATTTTAAATATTTATGTCATTGTGTTGGGTTAGTAGGTAAGACTAAGCCCGATTGAACTAATACTATATACTGAAAAGTATCAACATTGCAATGGACGACGGTGCACTGTTAAATACCTTATACCACCCAAAGGTCATTCGTATAACAACTTTTCTAATTGAGGTCTTATTATATGGGAAGTGATCGAAAAAGTAATCCGATCGGAACTATTTGCAACGGCTTTCGTCCTTGGCCAAGATGTCGTCAAATTTGCGGACACCAATTTTGCAACACTTTTACAAAACAGTATTCTCTTAAGCACCGAACACAATCAACGCGCTTGCTTCATACATTATAAACTAATTGTCAAAATAGAATTTCATTGTACATATTTAGTTAAACATATAGCTTGCCTTGCTTTGCTGGAGTAAAAATCATATAAAAAAATATTTTGCATGAAAAAGTATGCAAACACATCGCATTGTGCTCGGCGCTTTAGCCAGTACCATGATTCTAAATCGATTCGTCCATCCGTTCTTATGCCTCTCCGTAGCGATCTAGAAGCTTCTCTGACAATGTTGTTTCCTTGTGTTCAATCTGCAGGTCGCAAGTTTTTAGGATATATTGAAAAACTTGGAACGTCGACGTGCTTTGGCCCAAGAACGAACACTCTTGAGAATGGTTCGGGTTGGACCACTTTTTGTCTCCGCTCCTCATATGAAGCCTTATTTTCGAAAATCGTTATATAGATAATTGTATTAAACGAAGTGTTATAAGCTATTAAAGGGTGGGCCCCATCCCACCATACTCTAGAAATTATAAATTTTATTTATGTAATTGCATAATGAAAGCCCTTCATATTGTGGAGGATACTCGATCGTCAATGTGGTCTAAAACTTAATTAACTTGACCAAAGATTTTATTATTTTCCATCCACAAATTAAGCGTGATCGCCATAGTAGGGATTCCTTTCAGGAGAGTCCCTTCATACGGTGCGGTCTAAAAAATAAATCTATGTCTATTCAAATTCCCTATGGTTCCCTAGGGACCAGTTTGCGTAGGAAAGGTTATACGGCAAGAGGTGCTGAAAATTGCCTCACCCGATCGGAAGTGTTCACATCAACTTAGAACGTCGGAATATTATTACTACGTGATATTTGGCGCGAAATTCTGAAAATTACAATACTTTTTCTTATAACGACTTGCCAAAATAAGGCGTTATAAGTACTTCGATCCGAACCAATTTCAAAGTGTTTATACTTGGGCCATAACAAGACAGTGTACCGAATTTCTAGGTTGAACACAACGAACGGACAGACGGATAGTCAAATAATAAAAGGTTTGTCGAAAGTCCTTTCGTTCGCAACTGTTCGTACAAACCTAATATACACTGTCGCGCAAGTGATGTATAGTACAAAAAAAAAAAAAAAAATTAAATTAAAAAAAAAAAAACTATATTAACTAAATTATTATTATGAGACGACTTCAAGGCACAAGCCTAACTAAGCTTATATAAAAGCGAAACAAAGATTCATTGATTCTCAAAAATTACATCTACCGATTATAATGATATTGTAGTAAAACCTGCAGAAGATCGCATAAACAAGTTTTCATAATGAATAATTTTATCGGTCTTACATACATACACAACAATCACAAAATGTAAACACGAAGACATTTTCAAAAGAAAAATGCATAAAACATTTAAGTTACATATACGCACACTTATGCAGATAAGAATCTCATTCAAATAATAAAACGAAAATTAAAACAAGAACCAAACTTCTTCTTCTTTCCATCTATTGATGGAAAGAAAAAAAATGAAAGAGAGAGTGAGAGAGAAAAAATGTCAAACCAAGAGATAAAAAAGATATCACAGAGAGAGAAAAATTGTAAATCATTGAGAGAACATGAAAGAGAAAATTGTTCAAAAAAATCACAAAAAAAAAAACAAAAAAAAAAAATGAAATGATAAACAACAACGAAACGACAATGGCACATATAAAAGGCAGAGAGAGAGAGAGAGAAAGAGAGAGAGAGGAGATGGCAGGCAATAAATATACGATTTCGGACAAATTCATTCACATATTTATCAGCGGATTTAAAAAAACGTGTTAATGGATGTTTGGAAAATGAAAGTGTGGAGTATGGGAAGTGAAGAAGAAGTTTAAGATAGACAAAGACAAAGAGAAAGAGAGAGAGAGAGAGAGTGAGAGAGAGGGAAATTGGATCAGAGAGAAGATTATGGAGAAGAGAGTAGAGCAAACACAATACAACACACGCTTTAATAAAACAGGCAAAATATTACCTTGTTTTGCATCATAATTGCAGTTGTTATAACAGTACTAGTAGTAGTAGTTGTAGTAGTGGCTACGGGTGTTGTTGACGAAGTTGTCACAGAAGGAGACAACAATAATGACGACGATGATGATGATGATGATGATGATGACGACGACAACGACGACGACGACGACGACGATGGCGATGATAATGATGATGATAGTGATGATGATGATGATGATGATGATTGTGATGGAGATGTTAAAGTGGCATCGATTGAAACAGTTGCCGGCGGTAATGATGAAGAAGTTGATGAAAATATGTTTACATTATTAGGAGACGGAAAGTAAGAGGAGGATATTGGAGAGGAATATGAAGTGGAATTTACATTATGTTGATTAAAATCTTTATTATCATCGAAAATTTGCTGCTGATATTGTAAATTTTCTTGCCCTCCTTCATCGTTATGCCGTCTACTTGTTGAAAATGTTACATTCGACGATTGTGTAGATATCATATAAGATTCATTTTTGTTTGTATTAAACAAGTTGGGCGTTTGTATTTGTGTTGCCGAAGCTAAATTATCAATAATTTCGGCAACATTGAAATCTTGATTACTTTCCTTATTATTTGTCTTATGGTCTTCCAAAACTTTCTCAGTCGTTTTACTTGCAAATTCATTGTAAATTGAATTTAAATTTGATAGATGAATAACATTTCGATTGTTTGTAATTAAATCGGAAATCGGTTGCAATACTTCTAAATCATCGGATTCATTATCAAGATCATCATCGACTACCGGATCCTCGGCATCCACGGTTGCTTCATTTAAATTTTTCGTATTTTCAATTGTCTTCGTTATCACTGATTCCAATTGTGAAACACTTTCAACAATTTCCTCATCTAGGCCGCTGCCCACAGCGGCGGCTGGTTGTTGCTGTTTATTCGAAAGCATTAAATTGCCATCCAATTGAGGTGAAACATTTTCAATTTCTAAGTTATTAGTGGTATGTTTTTGAGCTGTGGACATTGTGCCTTCTTCGTTAGGAGTAACATCAATATTATTCCTGTTATCGTGAACGCTGAGCGTGTTGATGTTGGTATTGATGTTATCAATGTTGTTAGTCAACTCTAAGGTATTTGATGTTAATTCAGGCTAAACTCATCACACGTATAACAACCAGATCAGTCAATGTTCCAAACACACACAGGATAGTAGGTGATAAAGAGACAGAGTGTGAGTGACAGTGATTTTCATGTACAGTTGTTAACGGGTTTGCAATTCAATTCAATTCAATTCAATTATCAATTTCAATACCAGTTATGGTTTATGAGTATGTGTGTGTGTATATAGGTGTATGCGTGATTGCGCATAGTTGTATTTACACATATGCATAAGTATATATATTTGTTGTAAATTGTTGTGTGCATGTATATATATATATATGTGTGTGTGTGCACGTTGAAAAGTGATTAGGCAGTATGTGCAAAATAAAGATGAGTAAACATTATTAATACATAATATTTATAAGGATAATTTTAAAACATATATATATATATATATATATATATATATACATATATACATATATATATATGTATATATACAGAGTAATGAAAAGTCGCGCGTTACAAGAATTGTTAATAACATAAAGAAAGCCCCACAGAAATTGATGTAACAGAATTATTGTTTTTTTTTTTTGTTTTTGTTTTTGTTTTTCGTCCGTTTAAATAACATTTCAAAAGAATACATTACGCAAATTTAAAACAAGTATATATATAAGAGCGACAAAGAGAAGGGGAAGTAGAGAAAAAATGAATAAAAGAGAGAAAGAGCGTGTCATAGAAAGAGAGAAAGAGAGAGAGAAAGAGAGAAAGAGAGAGAGAGAAAGAAAAATAAATAACACAATGTTATCCATGAACAATTTAAAACCGTTTGAATAATAATAACAATAATAATAATAATCATATATAGAAAATTCTTTTTTTTTTTATCTTTTTTTTTTAAGTTTCAAAATTTGTAAAAAATTTTCTTTAAAAAATGAAATCAGAAAAATCATTGTTTCAAAAGAAAACAAAAACACAATTAGGTGCGTTTGTTAGAAATCAAATGTAATTAAACCAATTAATTTGTTAAGAGTTACCAACACAAATACGTATATATACATATGTATATATACATATAATTGAATATACATATACATATACATTGTATAGAGGACAGAAAGAGAGAAAAACGTAGATTTTCAGAAAATATATATAAAACAACTTAATGTTTGTTTTTTCTTTTTTTAATAATAATAATTCAACGTCAATAGAAAACAAAAAAAAAAAAAAAAAAAAAAAAAAATAAGAGATAAAATAAAAGCTTCGACTTACCTGTGCGCTATTATCGCCGTGATGATGACGATGAGCATGAGTTGTAGTAGTAGGTATATCCGTGGCAGATTCTTGCCTAAAAAATATATATATGTATATGTATAAAAATCATAAAAAACGCTTGCAATATATTTTATCGTTGCTTAGCTATTAGCAATTATATATTATACTTACACAGCATCTTCCTCGTCATCGTATTCATAATTATCTTCTTCGTAGTCGTCATTATCGTCATCGCCGGAACCCTCTACTTGTCGTCGATTTCTACTTAGCTTAATATCTTTGTATTCTTTACGCCAGATTATCCACCAACCGAATTTTTCACCCGTGATATTATCCAATGAACCATCCTTTACTTGTTGGCCTATTTGTTTTGCTATCGGTTCACCCATACTAAAGTATTTTGTACCACAACCAATCTGAAAATTAGATTAAAAAAATGTCACAAATTATTGATCAAGTTTAATACCTAACTGAAGTTCATAAGTAAATGATGCTAAACTCAATGCGAAAACGATGCGAAAAAAAAGGCAAACGTGTTTTTCGTGGCCTCTTTAAACGAAATATTATGAAGGCTGCAATCTTAAGAAGAAAATTATTCCGAATTCCAGTTAGCCCATCCATTATAAACGAATAGATATCAGATATTCTTTAACTTGAGGTAGGTTGTGCCCTTATATTTTCGCTGGAAACTTTGGACTTTAATCAGTTACTTCATTCATTCATTCATACTGGAACTAATTATTCTAGTAAAACAAGCAAGTCGATTACGGTTCACCAGTACGCTTAATATGGTTACTCATACAAAGGACTAATGGACGGACAGAGAAGTCTAAATCGATTCAGAATCGATCAGTATAACGAAGGATGCGTCTGTCTTTAGTCCTTCCGAGCGTTGGATAAGTTCGCATAATCTTAACGTACCCACGAATGGTGTAGGTTACAAAAATGAAGAAAGTGTCTTTAGCGAACCTGATCGATAGAAGATCATTAGACCTAAAAAAAAAAAAAGAGTATTTGTGGATACACTTAGTAACTCTATGCATGTATAAACTTTACTGATCGATTTTAGTTCGCGAGTTTTACAATTAGACTAGTTCCGAGTCCCTTCTTCTTATGTGCAAACGGAATTTGGATAGCAGGTGTCGATTGTTTTCTAAATAGTATCCACTACTATTTTAAATGAGAACATTACGGTGTTACATAAAATAGGAGCTATTTTGAACTCTCAGCTCATCAGCTGGCAAATTGTGATCAGCTGATGATCATGCTGTAATGGTTGATTTGCTAGCAGAACTGAATTTTTGCGCAGCACTTGATTTTACTTATGGACTTCATAGTTTACTTGCATGGTTTATTTGCAAGTAAGGTGAACAAGGTCAATCGGTGGACCTATGATGCAAATTTTTTGGCTCGTGTCACTGCACTTGCACTTGTAACTTAAGCCGTGTTCTCTATTGAGGGCGGTTTTCTCTAAACCAAGACCTTTCTCTACGTAAAGAAATTGTTCTTCATATCTGAGAACAAAGGCGAACAATTATGCCAAACATCAATTAGGTTTAAAGATTTCTTATCCGCCTAAGCGGCCGAGTAGGCAAGAGTCTCGACCAGCACCTCTCAATGATCGTGGGTTCAAATTTCAAGTGCGGTAGAGTTTTAAGAATTTAGTCTTAGAATTTATTCTCTGGCTAAATTTATAATAATAATAATAATAACAAAGATTTCAAAGAGTTCCCATTACACTTCATTTTTTGTTATTTTCAAGAAAGTTATTTCTCTCTCTCCCGTTCCCTTTCTTTCTCAATTATGCCAAATATCAATTAAAACGTGTTTCAAGAGTTGCCATTACACTTAGTGACATAAACTTTTTTTATTTTCAAGGAAGGTAGTTCTCTCTTTCTCTCTCCATCTCTCTCTCTTTCTCTCTTTCTCTCTATCTATCTATCTTTTTATCTATTTATCTACCTATCTATCTATATATCTATCTATTTGTCTGTCTATCTATCTATCTATCTATCTATCTATCTATCTCTATCTCTCTCTCGTTCGCTCTCTCTTTCTCTTTCTCTTTCTCTCTTTCTCTCTATCTATCTATCTTTTTATCTATTTATCTACCTATCTATCTATGTATCTATCTA